ACTGGCCGTCCCTTTAACTCGCTTCAAACGTTCCCCTGCCTCAAGCCTTGCCAATCGGCTGGCTTTCGTGATGACATGTTCAGTCCATATATGCATGACAAGGCACTGCTCTTGTTGGCTTCTGTGAGCTTGCTGCCGCTGAAGAAGCCTGCCTGGATCTCAGCAAAAGTGAGCTCCCCACTTCCATCCGCGTCCAGCTCATGGAAGTGTTCCTTGCGGCGGGCCAGCCACATGTCGTGGCTCAGCTGCACCTTCTCTGTCTCGGGTCTTTTTTTCCCTGCGCTACGTTAGAGCTCCAATGAGGAGAATGACCTGACACCTTTCTTATGAAGGGGAAAAATCCAGGGCCCTTCCCACAAGAGTAGCTTCTTGCTCAACAATGTTCCTTAACATCTCTCACCCCGCTGTAAATGTCCCACGCATCTTTTAGGGCTAGGGATATCTGTAGGAGGAGCGCCGCCTGACCAGCGCCAGGGACAAACCAAACCGCCGCCTTCAGGCCGACCTGAGCAACCATTGTCGCCCGCCGCCACCAGCTCAGGTTGTTAAAGTAGTTCTTCATAGTTGCAGAAAAGATGCTCTCATCATAGCAAACTTTCAGGATATCCTTGATGCCTGAAGCCATTTGGGTCGTAGAAGTAGGATCAAGGTTCTTCGCTATATCCTTGATTCGTTCTGTCGCCCTGGGTTGCTGTGAATCAGCGCAGCCACAAGCTGGGGATCGGGCGCTGGGACGCCGAGAATTCCGAAGCCCAGCCCAAGAGAGGTCACGGTCACCTTGACAACGGCCCCGACACAATCCTCCGCTTCAATCAACATCAGCGAGGTGCCATTCACTGGGCTCGCTGGAAGCACTTGAAGGGCTTGTGTCACTTGAGATGGCATAGTAAATGGTGGTGGAGGAGGCGGTGGCAATTGATCGATGCCTGTATCATCGAAGACCAGCGATGTGATCAAAGGCTCATGAACGATGAATTGCATGGCTTCTTCCGGGTACCACTGGCATGCGACTGCTATGCCAGCCCGAACATCTGCATGTGTCAAGTTGTTCTTGGTGGTCTCACTCTCAAGTACCTGCACATCCTCCGCAGAAATGATGCCATCACCGTTCCGGTCAAAGCGATCAAAGGACGATCCCCAACACTCGCGGGTAAAGCCTTCAGAAGGCTTCCCTTGGCACGCGAGATCCCTTAAGGTGAAGTCCGTGAAGACTTCGCTCATCCACAAGGGGCGTGTACCGCGACTGAGGGCCACATGAGGTGACTGATGAGTCAACAAGCTCGTGACGTCTGCCCCGCTTGGGCAAGACTCCGATGCAAAGGCCACAGCGAGCAGATTCACCAGCAAGGGAAACATGGCTCGGCTCACTTGCAAAGCACCCGAACAAGGGGAAGTGAGATTACTGAAGCTACCAAAATCCTGGCAAGGCCGGCGAGGGTTCGTTGTTTGGCATCAGGTTCAGAGGCTCAGATTCCTCCCCAAAAAACATCAAGTTACGACACCAGAACGACGGAGACGTCCCTGCACTTTTCTCGCCGCGCCTCCTCCATGCTGCCTGCAGGAGGCCCTGCCACAGATCGGTGGTGTCTGCGCGTGTTCTCCAAAAGGAGGAGGTCCGATCTGAGAGTCAGGAGTCGTCCTGAGTCCTGGGTTTTACACGGAAATGCCGCCTTGATGGATGTCAAATGCGCCTAAGGGTGCCAAGATTGTAACGGTTCTGGTGCTTGCGTGTTGCTTCTGGGCGACGGCAAAAGTTCCAGGAACCATCTTCCTCGACAGAACAACTTTGATGCGGTGCTTTGCTGCTCCAGTCCACATGATGATCCCATGATGGCCCTACCTCTGGAGGTTGTGGAGTCATGTGTACGTCATCATATGTTAGAGCACGGGCCGGCCCAGCAGAGTTCTGACGAGTGACATCTAGTTGAGTCACGTTGGAGTATCTTTCTCTCTTGGAACCCCTTCTCCCAATCAGTAAAGAGAATAAACAAACATATATGACCTTTTTGTCCATCCATCTAGTTCAGGATGTTACTCGGGTCGCAATACATAAAGCCGAAGACAGCCAATGGATATGGATAGCGCTCAATCAATCTGGGCAAAGCTTGGGCCCCAGCTCAGGCTCCAGGTCTTCGCTGAAGGTCTTCGGCACACCCCACCAGCACCTCCGCACCTCAAGCGAAGCTTCTTGGGAACCCCGCTGGCTACATGCAAGACTGTATTGCTAGGCTACAGCTTTGATATGCTTTCATACTCTATTTTTGCAGGGCTGGTCTGCCACAACATCCTGGGGTGTGGAAGAGGCAAAGCGCATCAGGAGAGGCACAAATGAGAAAGATCACCAACCTCACCTCTTGGCAGTTCTCCCTGGGCTGAATTCGACCTAGCAAATTCGTGGGGACCCAAGAAAACTGTCGAGATGGAAGACCTCTCCTTTTGCTTCACCTCCAGGGATGACTTTTAAGACTAATCTGAAAGAAAATCAACATGCTCAGGCCATGCAGTTCACTCACATCTTGTACCCGGCCTCACATCTCTTCACATCAATTGCTTTAAGCTCCCGACCGGCCAAAAGGAGCAGTCCAAATCCACTCTGGTGAACATTGAGCAGTTAGAATTGCAGCCTCCAGTGATGCATGGCGCAAGTAGATGGAGGATGTGGCAATATTTGCCGTGATTTGATCCTAAGGTAACCAACTGTGGCTTCAAACAAAAGTACAATGAATGATCATCACCTCGTCTTGAGCTCTGCATCCCATAAGCTGGGAACTTTCCGATCTGTCAGAGTTGGGCATCCCCGTTCGTTTACTGTGCTTAGTTGAAAAACAGATCATCATCCGAAGATCTTCTTCCCATCAAGAAGGGCTTGTATTTTCGGAGAGAGATGGGTAATCCAACCCTCCTGCTCTGTTTTACGAGTCTTGCGGTGAGTTTGCAGTGGACCCATGAAGGCAAGTGCCATCTTTATCCACCCGCAATCAATTACGTGGGTCTCAACCTTCCAAGCATCTCAAGGTACTCGTCCGTCCGCAGGGGGTTCACCCCAGTGTTGGGGGCTTAGCGCCTCGGCTAGCTCCGGCAAACGGCAAGCAATCTGCCCAATGACCTCCGGCAGGCGCGAGGGTTATGGCCCAAAAATTACCAAAACCTCGGGCAAACAACCAGGCGCTGTGCACTTGGGTGATGGGCTCTGGGATGCTTTGGACAACTTGGAAGACTATCCATCATGTGTGTCGATCACCATCTGCAACGCACATGGACCTTGGAAAAATCAACGCAACGAAACCGCAGGTCTTTTTTCCCCGGCTCTACATGAGAGCTGCAATGAGGAAAATGACCTGACACCTTTCGTATGAAGGTGAAAAATCCAGGCCTTCCCTTGATCCCATCGCAGCAAGAGTAGCTTCTTGCTCACCGACAGCTGCGCTTCACCATCCGTCTGCAGGCGCGACTCAAACGTTCATGGCATAAACGTCACCGGTTGTTTTGTCATGCACACTTTTGGTGCCATAATGCACCTTGTCGCATCCCCATTCTGCCAGGGTGGAACCGACTTTGTAGCCAGGTTTGTTCGCAAGGCCAAACTCATCCTGCCAGAAGGTGTGGCACCATTCGCGACCGCATTGCCAGCAAGTAGAGACATGGTGAAGGACTTTTTGGCCGGGCCCCCTGCGTCTCCATTTCTTGCCACCGCCACCGGTGTTCACTCCCGGATTCCCTGTCTCGCCACCCCCTCCGGTGTTCCCTCCAGGATTCCCTGTCTCGCCACCCCCTCCGTTGTCCTGGCCACAATAGTTTTTCACATCTCTCAGCCCCTCGATAACATCCCAGGCATCCATAAGGGCTAAGGATACCTGTAGGACGAAACCTGCCTGACCTGCGCCAGGGACAAACCAAAGCGCTACCGTCATAGAGATCTGAGCAACCGTCTTTGACCACTGCCACCAGTTCATGTCTTTCAAGGATTCCTTCACAAGATCAGACAAAATGCCCTCATTGTACAAAACAGCCAAGATATCCTTGACGCTCATGGCATTTTTGGTCATATCATCCAAGCCATTAAGATTCCTCACTATATCAAGGATGGCGTTCAACGCTCTCTGGTTGGTCGTGACCATGTCAGCCACAATCGCGCCACTGGGTAGTTCCAGGCCGAGAATTCCAAAGGCCAGTCCAAGACAGCCTACGGACACCTGGACTGCGCCCTGAACACACTTCTCAGAGTCCTCCGCTTCGATCAACATCAGCGAGGTGTCATTCACTGGGCTTGCTGGAAGCACTTGAAGGACTCGAGTCCCTTGAGATGGCAGAACAAATGGTGGTGGAGGAGGCGGTGGCAATTGATCGATGCCGGTATCATCGAAGACCAGCGCGGTGATCAAAGGCTCATGAACGATGAGTTTCATGGCTTCTTCCGGGTACCACTGGCATGCGACTGCTATGCCAGCCCGAACATCTGCACGTGTCAAGTTCTTCTTGGTGGTCTCACTCTCAAGTACCTGCACATCCTCCGCAGAAATGATGCCATCACCGTTCCGGTCAAAGCGATCAAAGGACGATCCCCAACACTCGCGGGTAAAGCCTTCAGAAGGCTTCCCTTGGCACGCGAGATCCCTTAAGGTGAAGTCCGTGAAGACTTCGCTCATCCACAAGGGGCGTGTACCGCGACTGAGGGCCACACGAGGCGACTGATGAGTCAACAAGCTCGTGACGTCTGCCCCGCTTGGGCAAGACTCCGATGCAAAGGCCACAGCGAGCAGATTCACCAGCAAGGGAAACATGGCTCGGCTCACTTGCAAAGCACCCGAACAAGGGGAAGTGAGATTTACTGAAGCTACCAAAATCCTGGCAAGGCCGGCGAGGGTTCGTTGT